CTCGCAACACGGTCACACATAAAAGCATAAAAGCTCGAGACCCCCCCAATCCACGCAACGCGGTCACATCAATCCTGTTCAATCCCTGGCAACCTCAGATAACCTCAGGCTATTGGGTCCACCTTTTACCACTGTTAAAGAGGCAAAAACCGGCCTCCGCATCGTCTTCCTTCAATGCCTTGTAGTGCTCCGCCCACTGCTGGTGCCTCACACGTCTGCTTCAACAGGAGCTTCGCACGTCTGCACGACTGGTGGTCCAGGAGACCCATCAAAAAACACCTGAGAAGCTGCAAAACGAAAGCCAGCGCTTCCCTTTCTCGACAACTGCGCGTCGAAGCAAGCAAATGAGCTCGCGCAGCTGCTTGCGGCCGCGTGTCAAATCTGCTTCATGTCTTGTTCTGCCCACACAGAGGTAACCATGTCAAAACAAAAACCTGCGCTTCCTGGCAATTGAGGGGTTCGGTGTCATTTTGCCCGGATTTTTCCTCTCCACAGGGGGGGGGGTTTGGATGGAATCCGATGTTTTAGGCCGTAGCCAAATCTATCCACATTGACATCATTTGGTGTCTACCAGGACCTTCAAAGTGACCGTCCGAGATCCCAGAATGAGGTCACTTAGTCACTTAGTCCCGAATGAGGTCACTTGGAGACTCCAAAGAGGTCATTCTGAAGGTCCTGGTGTTTCATTCCACTTCCAGTAAGACTAAGATCCTTTGTTTCTGGTGGCTATGCGCAAGCGACTCATGCTCTTCAAGGAGTGCTGTAAGTGAAGTATCGGAGTGCTCTTCTGAAGCTAGCCTGGGTCCGTATAAATACTATGATGCTATACCTCTTACACACCTACACAAGTTCAAAGCACGAATGAGACTTCAAAGCTGTGGATTGCTGTGCGTGTGTAGAGGCTATCGAGCGGTTGACGGAAAGGGAACTTGAAGTACTATACCTGGTAGCTGCACTATAGCTACCCTGGGTCTCTATACCTAGCAAGGTGCCAACTACACCTTTATTTTCAAGATGGCCTGAACAGAGTGTTTTAGGGCAGCAAACCGTGGTCTCAGGCCACCTTGAATTTAGCATGAAAACCACAGCTACATAGCTACCCTGGGTCTCTATACCTGGCAAGGTGCCAACTACACCTTTATTTTCAAGGTGGCCTGAACCTGGTCTCAGGCCACCTTGAATTTAGCTTGAAAACCACAGCTTTGAAGCCTCATGCGCGCCATACCTGGGAACAGAATTGTAGCTACAAGACCTTTATTTTCAAGGTGGCCTGAACAAAGTGTTTTAGGGCAGCAAACCGTGGTCTCAGGCCACCTTGAATTTAGCTTGAAGAAAACCACAGCTACATAGCTACCCTGGGTGTCTATACCTGGCAAGGTGCCAACTACACCTTTATTTTCAAGGTGGCCTGAACAGAGCGTTTTAGGGCAGCAAACCCTGGTCTCAGGCCACCTTGAATTTAGCTTGAAAACCACAGCTTTGAAGCCTCATGCGCGCCATACCCGGGAACAGAACTGTAGCTACTTGTAGCTACCCTGGGTCCGTATAAATACTATGTTGCTATACCTCTTACACACCTATACAAGTTCAAAGCACGAATGAGACTTCAAAGCTGTGGATTGCTGTGCGTGTGTAGAGGTTCTCAAGCGGTTGACGGAAAGGCAACTTGAAGTACTATACCTGGTAGCTGCACTATGATGCATTTGGCATTTCTTGCATCACCACCCCTCAAAAATCACCTCCAACACAACCTCAAAAAACCTTCCCTCGAAGCACCCTCCTCCCCCAGCATGTGCCGAGTTGACGTATACCTTTCTCGGGCCACCCCCCCAGACCCCCTAACTACTCACTTCGTTCGCCAGACACAACTCCGCTAGCGCCTTCTACGAAGGCTGGCTTTCGTAATGTTTGCGCTGGTTTCGAACAGGGAACGCCCCAAGACATGGTGTGCTTTCCATGTTTTAAGTCGAGCCCACATGGCTCAGTGTGCACAGCCTCATGACCGAAAGCATCACTAAACCTCACTTTTAAAATGCGCTACCCCATCTGGCCTTTCTCGTTCCGCGATGCGCCTGGCCAGGCACATGGCGCAATCCAACAAAAAGAAGAGGGATCAAGGAAAGAGAGCTTTAATTTAGACAAGGAAACCGCACATACAATACTTGTAACTTGTATCTAGCCTTTTGACATACCGTATTTTGACCCTGCTAAAACCATGTATATAAAACATCATTTCATGCCTGAATGAATCTCATTAGTGGATGCAACAACAACCTTTGCCGAACACTTGCATTCCTTCATACGATGCACTGCTAAGCTGGTACGCAGGAATATCAGGGAACTCGCATACGAGTTACACGCAATGCACAGTCCACCAAGTCAATCATTGGTTGTCTTCATGTAGCAGGTCTAAAGGTCTGGAGTCAGTTGAGTGTTTAGTTAAGAGGTCTTTGACTTCAAGGCGGCAATATGGCATGAATGGATGCACAAATTGATGTTGCTCTTCATTTGTTTCCAACCTGTTTGTTCGTGTGAAACTGGTGGCAGGCGCTTGTGGTCACACAACATGGCAGGCGACAGATGCGGAATTGGAACGAAAAAAGGAGGCACCTTCCCTACGTGCAAGGAAGCAAATTTGGTGCCTGGAGACCACGGTGTAGGTGATCACCCCGCCCAAAGATATGACCTCGGTCACGACGAGGTCTGGTGAGTCGGTTGGCTCGGAGAAGACGGCGGGTCAACGAACAAGACTCGAATTGGAGCCAAAAGTTGTTGAGTCCCCGAGCGATCTACCATTCACAGCCACTTGACAGTGAAGATTGAACATCGTGCCATGCCCCACTGTTGTTCGAGATTCTGAACGTCTCCAACTGTGGTGCCCGAACCACGCCCAGTGCGTTCAGCAAGGTCATTGGTTTGCTGAACAGCACGGCGCCACAGCCTCAGAGTTTGGGTGGCAAAAGGTCAGTTTGGTGCCCAATCCCATCTCAAGAACTGTGGGAAGATGGGGGTAATTCCACCTGCGATAGACATCAACGATCTTAAGCAACATCCACACTGTACCATGCTGCACTTGACGCTTTTTTTTCACTGAGGAACCGAGTGCTGGGGCATTTTGGGGCTGAAGGTTGCCAGGGCCCCCCTAAACTTTTCACATCATGCATTCGCCCTCATTCTGACGCTTTATTTTGCATGCCTTCTCTGCCTTCAAGGCCCTCAAAGAGACATAGCCCAAGGATAAGGCCGCTGTGTCCGCTGTGGCCCCATGCAGATCGTGCCCAAACGTCGCACGATGTCGGTGACCTCGGTGGCCGGTCGAGCGTCGCTTTGCTGAGCGTCGATGTTCGGAAGGCCGAAACGACCGGAAAGACCTCCAGGGCCTGTGGGACGGGTGCAATTTTGGATGGATGTTTGTTTTGATGAGTGCAACACCACTTCAATCAACCTTCGGATGGGAAGTTCATGATGAGTCCCATGTTGAAGCTAAGTTTTTCAAGCTGAGCCTAATCATTGACATCTCTTAGCCACTGAAGAAAGGTCTGATAAGATTCCTGGGGATGCTGGTATTGCTACTTCACCCTAGTAGCTTTACCGGCACTGCAATGCCCAAGAAGTTGCAAACCTTCAGCTTCAACAGTGTGCTTCTTCAAGATGCCGTGGAGTCGCGAGCCCGTGAAAAGAAATATCAATGATGCAACTGGCAACATGTTAAAAACTGATGCTTCACCTGCCAAACATGGGAAAACACATGTTTTGGCCTTTGACTTTGACATGCTTTGACTGGCTACATATGCAGTTGGTGCATGTCAACCCTCCCCAGATCCAAACCCTGAGGCCCAAACACTAAATGCCAAAGGGTTGCATAAAGCAACGAAGAGAAAGTTCAAGGTGTATTCAACCTGGACAGAATATCAAATGCACAAAGTTGTTTCCGGTGGATCTATGAGAACTCGACCTTGGCATGTGTCCAGATGGTCATGAACTCCAAACTTAGCTGCTTCTGAGTCTGTCATGTCCTCCTTTCCTTGCAAGCGTTTTGCAATCTTTCCCATGCATGTAGCTATCATGGACCCTTGTTAGTCCCGCACATGATATGCGAGCGCTGCCATTGCCGCGACCTGGCCAATCAGGAGTGTGTGAAGGTGCTGGACGCCGCCAATGATAGCTAGCGTGTTGGAAGACCCACGAGGAACAAAGGATCCTGAAAAGCTTTCTGGGTGAGCTGTGCTCACACCAGTCACTTGCTCAATCTTACTAGGCGGTGGGAAATTGCCCAATGAAGCCAAACAAATCATAGGCGCGCACCGGCTCACACCCCTTGGGAAATACATGCAAATACATTGCACGTTCTCCTCCGTCACACACCATCCGGATATCTCTGCACTTCAGCTAAGATGAAAGACCAACATAAAGCTTGAAGCATTCTTTAGCGGCTCCACTTTGAGAAAACTGTTGCTGCAGCACCATTCAATATTCATGCACCAAAGAAAAGATTGTGACGTCTGTTGACAACCCATCCATGACGAATAGATGGCTAACAGCATACCTACCTACCACCCCCAAAATGAGTCCTCAACTCCCTAAACCACACGAAAGGCTTATGGAAACAACTCTTTCACCACAAGGGAACCCATGAGAGTTTCTTGGACCAAACATGACAATATGCTGTGCCTGTAATTATGCTGATGTGTCCGCTGACTTGGCCAGGTGCCACAGACTGCCACAGTTCCATTTTCTCATGTTAGTATATGTTAGTATGCTATTGCTGACGTTTCAGCTCAGCTTCCCCCCCAAATGCCAGCGTTCCATGCTCCTCATCCCATTCTCCACGGCCTTCATTGAGGTGGGGCACGGTGGCTGTGAGAGGCTGAAGCACGCCGTCACCAGGCCATGCCCATCGTCCTCACAAAGGCGGACGCAGCATGGGAGTCGCCCCAAACGGCGGAGACCGGTGGCAAGCGCGTGGGATCTGGATGGATCGGATGGATCTGCTTGGAGGAGTGACAATGAGATACAATTAATCAGAGATTCGGTTCAGTCTTTTGAATTTGGTTGAGGATCTGATGTGTCCTTTTGTGGAGATCGAAAAGGTTGGAAGCACTGTTTCATGCTTTCTTTCTCCGCTGCTTCTGCTTTCTTCGGCTGGTCGAAGCCTGTGACCAAACAACACGGTGGGTGGATGTGCCGCAAGGAAAGGCTCATGATCATCCCGCATCCAAATGAGATGCGGCCAACACCGAGGCCAAAACCAATTTTACTATAGACACTACTAATCCCAACCACTCCATGGGACTGCCATATATGCTTACATTGACGCCCCCCCAAACCACCACCCCTGGCCGTTTCTCGGCAGTCCTATGGCAGTCCCACTAGTCGTGTCTGGGAATTCTATTGGTCTTGCTGATTGGCGAGGCGACTTCTGCCCCTCTTGGCGCCGTCGTGAGACGCATGGCGCCGGGCCTTGGCGTAGGACACGGCCAAGAGAGGCAGCGAAAGCACAGTGCAAACGGTGGCCATTACTGTAAAGGCCTGGACCGAGGCGAGAATTGGACGCGCTCAGAATGACCTTTGACAGGCTAGCAGTGCTAGCAGTGCTAGAAATACATACAAGCATCTGATGCATTCCCTTGGTGGCCATGAAATAATATATGTTTTGCTGGAAACATGTGGTTGGGACTCGGAGGGGAAAAGCACAAAGAAACAAGCAACACAAAGTCTGAGTATCTGAGTATCATCGTATTGTGCAGCCTCTATACCACGCCTCCATCCCGGACAGCTTCAGTGTTTGAGTTCCTGTCCTGACGGAACATACGCACAGGGCTCCAGCTTGTCCCGGTGGAAATCAACAGAATTGGAGGAATCAGGTGGACCTTAACCTCCATCGAACATGAACAAATCAAGACCAGTGAGTTTGTCAAGTAACACCTTCAGGCGTGCCAAGGTCACTTGGGATCCAACAGAAGAAAACTCGATCCTTTATATAATTTTGTTCTGACTCTAGGACTCTAACTCTAGGACTGCAAACATCATTACCACCACCACCACCATCATCATCATCATCACCACCACCATCATCATCGACACCACCACCATCATCAACACCAGCAACACCAATAAACACCAACCTCAGGCTCGAAGCGCTTCACCTTGGAGATGATGTTCAGCAAGGTTTGTGACATCGACGAGCCCAACCTCAGGGTGGGTGTCGTGCAGGGCTGACCCTGCTTTGGTCGTGGGTTCTAGGTATCCTGCCATCCGTTTGTTCGATGCAACGTGTGCCAAAGCGGTGCAGTGCCCACCCGATTTTAGCTTGATTGGTCAAAGCACAGAAATGGACGAGGGGCCGAAATCTCCATAGAACCGATAGAACATTCTGCAACAACAAAATACAAAAAGTTCTCATAACGGACCATTTTTGATCCTTCAATCGAATGGAAGATCGTGTTCTTTGCATTTAGGGACCCAAGCACACCCATTCTGAAGCTCTGAACACCCTTCTAGGGAACAGGCGCGCACAGCAAACCCAACCTGAGTGGATGGGTGCAAACTCAAAGCATGGCACCAGGCGAAAAGGGTCGCGCGTACAAAAGGCCGCCATTCTATAGCAGCTCTCCAGCAGACTTCAGTCTGCCAGATCTCGAAACAGCAAACAGTCTTGCAAGACAGGAAATTGAACAGGAAAAAGTTGCCCCAAGCCAGCTCTTTTTAAGTGCAATGACAAACAACAGGTCTGCATACAGTCCACAGTCCGCAGGTGTTTTGAGACCCTTAAGACTTTAGACAAGCCAAGGAACACTCCGCCTGACCCCGGCTTAGCTTGGCCTACGATGTGACGTCAACCAATTCTCAGATCCGCGGCGCGCTGCTTTCGGCATCGGTGGCGCTGGCTAAGGAAACGCCCAAACAAACGGGCCTCGGTGGATGTGATGCGAGAAATACCTACAATGAGGTGAATGGCAGAACTGGCCAGTGAGGTCGCTTTGAAATCTGGAATGTAGGTGTGTTCTTGTGGAGGGCCGATTGCCTCGGAACTGGCTTCAAAAGTTCCCTCTCCTCTCCTCTTCCGTTCTCTGTCTTTTGCGGTTGAAACGAGTAGTGGATTAACATGAATTAACTACATTACATAGTTGTACAAAGTTGCAAGGCAAAAATACAACCATCAAACTAGCAACAAAAAGGAACAAACTGACAGAAAGAGAGAGAGAGAGAGAGAAAAAAACACGGATTGTTTCACCAAAAAGGACACAAAACAAAACGTAAGTACAAAAGCAAATGACGAAAGAAACCGCGACATAAAGCAACCCTAGTCTCCCACTTGTTCCGAATATTGATCAATTACGGCATGGTGTCCTTTGGATTTCTCCGAGATGTCCCTCTGGGAAGCGTGACAGCAAGGAAGCATAGATTGGAATCTCGAAGTGTTGCCCACCTCATTGCTGGAGACGACGGCGGGGCAACACTTGAGTCAGCGGTTGCTCATCCACCGGTCATGAAACCGCCAAAGCAAGGCGTTCAGAATCTTTGGGGATTGGTGTGGAACGCTGTAAACATGTACTTCAAGAGACTCTGTCTGTGACTTCATTGAGCTCAGTGTACTTCAAGCAAAGGATGTAAACATGTACCTAACTGTTGCTATACAAACATCCGTCTAACGGCACCCATGAACCCTGTTATATAACGTTTAACTGGGAAGATGCTCACAAACCAGGAATCCAAAAGGAAACTCCTCCAAGACTCTCAAGGCACATTGTTGGTTGACAGTTTTGGCACTTCACACTCCCAAACAAACAAACGAGTCACACTGGCTTACAAAAGCCTCTGGGAACCAACATTGGCTTGTTGTATTCCCTTAGATCCACGCTCCCCTTACAACGGGGTGCATACCATTGCAGAGTACCAAACAAAGAAGCTCGCCAGCTGGGAAGCCTGTAAACCAGGAATCCCCATGTTGTGGTCCGATCCAAATGAGCCAAGCGGAACTACTACCATGTACCACATGCTTGTGCTTGGCCAAATAGAAGCAGCAAGGAACATCTCACATAGAAGCAGCCCGAAACTGAACTCAAGTTCTTTTTTCTCAAGTTTCGAGGCTGAGCTCTTTTCCTCCAACGCCGAAGGTCCAGTGCTGGGGATCCCCCGACGGAGGCGGCAACAAAGGACCTGAGAGGGGTCTGGGCCGAGGAGCACCCAGTGACTGCAAGGCATGCAAGGACCTGAGTTAGTGAATTTGCATACAGGAGTATAGTCTGTATGCATTGTATTGATCAAACCCGGTTCATGATCTTTCTAGGAATCCTTTCAAGCATGGTTCATCATGTTTTCTGAAGAGTGCAATCTCCTACCTTTTTCAAGGTGAGCAAGCCGCTGCGAGAGTCGCAAATGACCTACAGAGTTTACCCATTGTTGTCAAAACTGTGTGGACTAAAACACGTTCAACACTCTGAAAGCCTGAACGGCCACTAGTTACGCTGGTTGTCCTTCGAACCCTCCCAGCCACCTGCCCCACCCACCCTGGCCGGCACAACCATGGCCCACCAACGGAGGCGAGATGCGGTGAAGAAGGGGATCAAACTCTTCACCACCTCGGATGCACCGATGCACCCCAAACGCTTGGGATGCGGGGCCGGCTGCAGGGCCGACTGCGGACGGCGGACGACCATGGGCTCCAAAAAGAGGCAAGCGGAGGGGGCTGAACCCATCCCTATACTGACTGGGGTGACGAGTGCATGGCATGAAGGAATTGGGGTATTCTATGGTGAGGGGGCATTCCCTTTTTGCCTAAGAGTTGCAGCAGTCCTCTTTCGCCCTGTCAGCAAATCTAAGGAAGGGAGATGAAGGGAGCAGAAAGCGGGGTGAACGACAAGGAATTTCGAGGCACACCGGCTCACTGTCTCACTTTTCTCTGCATAACTCGAATCATAGCCACGTGCTCACCAGCGCTTCCTCAGCTGAATTGTGGGCAGGTAGCTTTGCCCCGCGTAAGCTGCTGGATTCCTAGGAAAGGGTGGCCACACGTGGCCACATTCCACCTACACGTCCAAACCCATTCTTCTGTCAATCCCCCCCGGCTGGCAGCCACTTCTTTCTTGTTCATTCAGGCGTCTCCCCGAAGCGGTTCCTCCGCCCAAACCGAGGAGCATAGGTCAGGGTCACTCCGGAGCAAAGCCTGCAGTCAGCAGCTGGCGGAGTCGGTCTCAGGGGTCGGTGAGTGAGGTTCCAGGTGTCGGTCCGAGCGCTATGAAGTCGATGTTCGAAATGGATTGGGTTGGCGGCACTGGGAATAGCTCTGGTGTACATAAATCAAACGAGCGAAAGGCCCATGAATCGTCCCATACTATATATTATATATATATTTATTCACATCTAATGTCGAATGCCCAGTCCAGCTTTCACCCAGGTGATGGGTGTGGTCTCGGAGTAAATACCATTCAATAACTCATGTGACAACACATACCCCTTGGAACTTCAACATGCTTCTTACTCATGATTTCTTCGCAACTTTCTTCAGTGCTTTGTTTTACTTTTGTATGACACAGGCCCCTCTGAGGACGGACAAGTAGCCCTGTGGCCACCTAGCTCACCGGACCAAACGCAGGACTGGCGCACAGGACCCGTGGGGCCCCCAGGCATGCTCATGGAGTTCAGCAGGTTGGCGGTGAGCAGTAGCGCCGAAGGTAAGAACAACCTGCGGAAGGGATGGACGGTGAAGGTAAGAACAACCTCCAGCCTTCTGTTTGGAGGGTGAATCTGGTCTGATCAGTGGATTTTGTGGAAGATCACGTGGGACCATAAGCATCTTATAAATAAGGTCTAGCAGGTTGCAGACAAGGAATCAGTTTCTCAAGTCAGAAGACATGCATCATAACTTGATGTTGAAGGACAACCGGACAACCTGCTCCGTTTATATAAACTACACTGTTGTCCAGGCTTGCAAAAACACCATGTTGCACTAGTCTGACACAAGTGGCCCCAAAGAGACGTCTCACTCCTCTACAATTTGGGTTTCTCCCTCTCTCTCTCTCTGCTAAGATCTGCAAAGTCTAGCTGTCTTACAGCTGTCCCACACGGACGGTCTCGTGGAGTAGTTGCACTGTACACCGCTTGTTCGTCACCGTCCGCGTCACCGTCACCACTTCCCACGAACTGAAACGGAGACGGGACGGACCACGCAACCCGCGCAATGGGTGCCACGGAAGTGGAGAAAACTGCCGGCAGACCAAGGCACCTGCGTTTACTGGGGAGTTGTCCTCAATGTTAAAAGAGAGGTCACCCATTGTTGCTTTACTTCCAAATGCACGAAATCAATAAAGGACTGTCTCAATATAGAAAAGACTAGTAACTAAGATGGAAATGTTGGATGATCATTTTACTGGGTATAGCGGTATAGCTCTCAAATAGATCGAAGGCTACCCGGTCACCCATGTGGCTTTTGCATGAGGAATATCCAACCCCCAAAAATCATCCAAACTCCCTGAAGCGGTAGATGTGCTGAAGGGATAAAGTATGTGCCACTCGAGTCCAGTGTGATGAACAATGGTGTGTGCGCGTGCATTCCGGGGTGAATAAGGGATTTTGGCTACAGGCAAACTTTAACTTTACACATCTATAGTGAGCTTTACAACCCTAGCTTACTTGCAAATCACCCGCTTACTATAGAATGCTTTTTGGTAAATCTACAGCTATAGTCAGCTTACTAGTACAACCTTTGAGACGGTTTTCGTTGACCTGTCTTAGCTCGTCCGACCCTTTTGAACCTCCCACCACGCA